AAAAAAGAAACTAGTAACCCCATTGCTATCAATATACCGTCTTTTTTTAATGGATGATAATGGAATGATGACCCCGCCTATGCTATCGGTATACACTGGCGGGGCACCAGTGAGGGATGATTGGTGAAGGTGAAAAGGCAGGTCAGTTACGCCCATCGTGACGAATTCAACGATAAATTAGACACGATGGTTGCCAGGGAGAACCGCGTGGAGGTCGAACTGATAGAGTATATTGATAGCAATGGGAACTAACCTCCCCATTACTAACAATCCCTTCCTCCCAATATAACCCTGTCAGGTCGACTTGCACGTGGTGTTTCCTGGAAAGCATTGTAGTTGATTTCAGATCAATTCGATACAATGGATGAATTGATTTGTCATACTCTACACCTATTATCACTTTTTCATACCACAAATGTGGCAAATAAGCATACAGCCCGTCTGATGGTAAATTTATTGGTGCCTACCTGCGTACACCGACAGCATAAGTGGGGTTACTATTCCAAAAAAAAACAGTCGACAAAGAGAGGTCTAGATAGGCCGTCAACGGTCTACCATTTGTTGTCTGACGTATTGTTTTTTACTTATTACTCGGATCCTCTATCTACCCCGTAAAGGACATAGTGTGAATATCATTGGCTTTTATAAAAAAAAATCCAGAAGACGAGGGGCTTGCTACAGTAGGCGCATGTGTATTATCAGACATATCTTTGCGAAGCTTTTCTCGCATTTTGAGGTGGGCACAAGATTATTCTTGGGTGGGCATGGGTCAGCCGGTCCCCAAAACAAATATACCTATCGTGAATATATATGTATATATAGATTTATGATATGTATATAATTGTTTACTTGCAGTTTCTCATTGATGTCTTAATCCCAGAAGATAAGAGTACATTTGCATTATTTCGTGCCAAGATCCGGGATGACGTAATTGTGTATGATGAGCAATAATCGTCCTTATAGCAATAACGTTAAGAATTACACGATTAATGGAAATACAATTGGAATTTTATGGCCGGTTAACAATAGATTTGAAAAAATATGATTCAATACTCGTATAAAGCTTGTGGTTTTTCTCATGTCTTACATAATATCGATGTAATGGATACTGAAGTGTTATTAAAAAGTCTTGTATTTATGTGGAAATCCGGTATATACAAGTGTGGAGTAAAATGATTTGTCTCAAAGGTAGTAAATTTTTTTTTTATGATTGTTGTTGCATGGGAAATGGTAACTGTCGCCTGTAACAAGACAGATTATACTGTTTTGCCCATGATATGAATTAACGAAATCTCACAGTACAACTAAAGAAAAAAGACGAATTGGGAATCGTCTGCATTTGGAAGTCGATTAAAAAAGAAATCAACATTATCGTTTTCGTTGAAGGCACGCCACTGTTAAGTCACCGCACCTTATTTTGAACGGCAATGTTAAATAATAACTATTAAAATATTTCGCTCGTGGGCGGCTCCAATTCACCTTTTAGGCGCCGAGTACTGATTTAGTTTATATTCAATCATAATATTTTAATATTTTGTTTAAATAAAACAACAGCTGAGTTTCTTGTTCATTTCTCTGAGTCAAATTTGCATTCTGGATGTAATTTTTTTCTTTCACTGTACTTTTTTTTGTACTCTTTTAGCTTGTGGGCGGCCCCAGTTTCACTTTTTAGGCGCCGAGTACTGATTTAGTTTATATTCAATCATAATATTTTAATACTTGTAAATTGAAACTTTTGTTTAAATAAAGCAACAGCTGAGTTTCTTGTTCATTCTTCTGAGTCAAATTTGCACTCTGGATGTGATTTTTTTCTTTCACTGTACTTTTTTTTGTACTCTTTTAGCTTGTGGGCGGCTCCAATTCACCTTTTAGATGCTGAGTACTGATTTAGTTTAATATATTCAATCATAATATTTTAATACTTGTAAATTGAAACTTTTGTTCAAATAAAGCAACAGCTGAGTTTTTTGTTCATTCCTCTCTGAGTCAAATTTGCACTCTGGATGTAATTTTTTTCTTTCACTGTACTTTTTTTTATATTCTTTTAGCTTGAGGGCTACTGAGTTTCTTGTTTCGACTAATAGAATTTAATGATCCGAGCAGTAAGTACTTTATATTATTCTCAATTTCGTGTATAATATAGTACATATATGTCATATATCTGTAAATATATTTGTTATTTATATATATTTATTCGTTTATATATGTAATTTTAGTATGTATGTATATCTATAATTAGTAGTACCGCATTCGAGTATTCTGACACTTCCCTATGGTTGACTGGGAGTGAATGCTTTAAGCTTTAAGTCCGACACAGCGGGACACAGTGGGACACTTTTTGTATATGTTATTTATATTTTATATTGTAAGTTTACTGGCAATAAATGTTTCTATTCTATTCTATTCATAATACTAATACGTCTTTTGCCTTTATTAATTAGTTATTTTTTTAATTTTCTTTAGCAATTTTTGCTTCGTACGAACTACATTACACTCCGCAAAATGCTACTAAAATAATGAACATATGGTTGTCTGTAGGAGATTGGTCTGGTTTATATTTTTATGTGTTTTAATGCATTACAGTTTATAATTAATAGAAATATTTATTTATTTATTTATTTAAATATTTTTTATGAATAAAATAAAATATGACACAAAAGACGGACTTGATGCTGGTAGCATTTCTCTAGCAGTCAACCTTTGGGATGAATAGTGAATCACGAACGCGGTATCCTATCCCAATAATGTAGTATTATTATTGGGATATGTCTACGCGGATAGCTGAAAGCACCGTTCACATCTTGGGGTGAGCATCTTACAATTCCGGGGTGAGGGGGGAAAGAGATTGTTAGTGATGGAGACTGCGAATCTCATTGCTAACAATATACCCAACCAGGTCGACCTCCACGCGGTTCCCCCTGGAAACTATCATGGTTAATTCGTTGAATTCGTCACGATGGGCTAACTGACCTGCCTTTTCATCCTCACCTATCATCCCTCACTGGTGCCCCGCCAGCGTATGCCGTTAGCGCAAGTGGGGTTACCATTACAGTATCATCCATTCAAAGGTTCTTCTTTTTAAAAAAAAGAAAGTTCTTCTTGCTTCTGCTTCTTTTTAGAGTCTTTATATCTCTATTGTATATTATTTTGTAAGTTCCACGTAACGATATAAGTTCAGTTCGCTTCAAGGTTGAATCGCAAATTTTTTTTATGCTGCTTAGAATGGCAAACAAGCTGACGGCCCACCTGATGGAAAGTGGTAACCGTCGCCTGTAGACATGAGCAGTACCATGGACATAACAGAGTATACTGTTTCGCCCATGATACCCCCGATGCGTTGCCATTCCTGAGGACTCAGGTGTTATTCAACTGTACCTTGTAAATTCACGCCATATCCCACCCTTCAAACCGAAACACAGCCATGCAAACGCAACTGCTTCCCGGTAGAAACACGAATGGGACAGAGGTGCCCAAGCAAACGACTTTTGTGCAAAGTCATTTGCTTGGATGGTATTGATAGATGTTTTTTTTTCTTATAAATGAAAGAATGTCTGTAAGTCTGTTACGTGTTAACACCTAAACTACTGATCTGACGGCGGTGACTGGTACAGATGGTAGCATTAGCCTTGAACCAGTAAAAAGGTTTCAAAAATAGTTTATCAAAACGCATATGTTTTCGTGTGTATGTCACGCGATGTCTTCGTCTGTACTAGACTGATTTTGTTGATTATTTTTGCAATCAATAGGACGTATCTTGGTGTTGATTTTGTATTAATTTTTTCGTGATTAAAGTAGCTTTTTTTGTAGGGCAAAATTTTATATTATTTATGTTTAGATAATTTATTAGGTTTGTTTTGTTTCGCTTTTTAAAGGGCAGGTGAAGCTGTCACTTTCGAGACTTTGTGTACAAGGAGTGTAGCCCCGAAACTGTCATCAACAGAGAGAGCCACTTAAGCACTTAATACTGAACTAATTGAAATATAAATTATGTTATTATTATTATTATATAGATTATTAAACAGAATTAGACATAATATTAAAAAAGGAACGAAAAAAAGAAATATTTTTGTTCAAGTAAACTTGGATTTAAGCATTTTTGAATAGTCATTTATTTATTACCTATAATTTAATTTCATAGTGTTTATTTAATAATGTACTTTAAAAACGTATGTAGCTTAATATATATGGTATATTGTGCAGACTAAATTACGGGGGAGAACTCTAGAAAATAAAATACCTTAAGATTTTTTTTTAATTTAAAGTTTTAAAAATAAAAAAAAATATAGGATTAATTTTAGCAATTGATTTGTTCTTAGTTATTGGCATATTGCAAATCATTATTTCAAAATTTTGAGTATAGGTAACGAATTCCTTGTTTTAAGAAACAGAATGTAACAGACCATTGCCATGAAGTAATAAAGCTTATGTGAAATGAATAAAATAAAAATTAATAATTAAATTCATATTTTAATTCTAAATTCCAAATTATCTTGTGTATAATGAAAGACAAATACAGGCATGAATGTCCTCAGGCGCGAAATAATTAATATTCATTCATTTATTTTGTTATGGAATATTTATGGTATCCATGAAATTGTAATATAGAACAAGTTTATATGTGATAAACAAGATATTAAATAATATAACATGATTTATGATATATAAATTTACATACAAAATATCCTACCCATATAGTACGTGTAAAAGACATCAACTGACGCATGGAGCGCGGGAAATATATATTTTAATTTTTTATGTATAAAAATCTAGTGTTAAATTTATAAATTACAAAATTAATTAATATTATAATTATGTATAAATATATTGGAAAAAATAAATTTAAATTAAATCCTAAATAGATTGAATTAAAAAAAAAATAACCCATCGACCTCACTACCTGCTCACTGTTAAAAAATAAAACATAGGAACTTAATTTAAAAAGAGAACACTCACATTCAAATTCGAAATTCAAAATTATAATTGAATAAAAAAAAACTCACATAAAACGTCACGGCTACCACTCCACAATGATAAGCACAACACACTGAAACGTTTCACGATGTCTCTTCGATATTTAAAACTTCGGTGACGTCACTCAACGTTTTATTTTTTTTTTAAATTAATATATTTAAAAACGTTACGCGTCGCGCGTTCAGGTCGCAAGAACAAACATCTGTAGTACTATGTTGTCGCTTATATACTTAAGGTACGTTTATGAAACAAGCTTGTTATGTGACCTCGGCGGCGCTGCATCGCTGTAAAGCGAATCATTAATGATTCACACACGGATGGATATTTGTTTTATAATTTCTTTTTAAAGGAAAATTATAAGAAGAAATAATGAATAATAACAATTATTGACCTCCGCGGAGGTCGTAGGTTTCACGTATCAGCTAATTTAGGTAATGAATTAATTGTATAAGGTTTTGGTTGGCGCAAAATATGCGTGCAAAGCACCAAAGAGGGGCAAAATTCAGTGGATTTTGTACAAAGTCATCTAAATTTTCTATGGTGTAAAATTTACCACAGAAACAATGGTATACCATCCTTTCACATTATTTTGTCACCAAACAAAATTATTTAATAATTATTATTAATTATATTTCACAGTATACTTTGTTATGTCCACGTTACTGTTCATGTCTATAGGCGCCGATTACCAATTTCCATCAGGTGGGCCGCCAGCTTGTTCGCCCATTCTAAGTTGCATAAAAAAGCTCCTATTTACATAGGAGCTTTATAATATATATATTATAATATTACTATAACTTTTTTAAAGACTAGCAATCCAACCCGGCTTCGTACGGGTAGATAAATTTTTCAAAAATAGTATATAACCTACTTTACTCGCCGACAATGTAGCTTTCTATAGGTGATTTTTTTTTATATCGCTTCAACAGTTTTTAAGTTTATCTATTACAAACAAACAAACAATCGTTCCTCTTCATAATAGTAGTATAGACTACCTGTATCCCGCAGCTTCGTTCGTTAGAATCAATATGTAGAATATACGATACTCTAAGTTAGCTTATCCGTGTACCAATTTTCATTCAAATCTGTTTAGTAGTTATTGCGTGAAAGTGTATCAAATAACCATCCATCGTTGCAAACTTTTGCATTTATGGATGCAGTATATATGGAAGCTGATAAGCCAACATATGTTACTATTAAGGATGAATATGGCTGTGAAATGGCCGTGTGGTCCCGGCATAGAATAAGCCACCCCTTCCTTTTTCGTGGATGTCGTAAGAGGCGAATAGGGGAGAACGAGGGGTGGGCAGCAGCGTCTCTCGTACAGCATCCTAACTGCCTACCAAGCGTCACCACGCTCCTTATTTCCAAAATTAAAATTTTTAATTCGATATTACAACGAAATCTTTATTTTAACAATGAATATGAATTAAATTTCTAATAGATTATAATTTTTAAAAATTTTGTCAAAAATTATACATAAAACAGTATTTTTTTATATAATTTAGAATGGCAAACAAGCTGACTGTCTACCTAATGTCAGAGACGCAGTTAGGTTAGAAATGTTTTAAGAGGGACGCTGCTGTCCATTCCTCGCCGTCCCTTAGTCGCCTCTTACGACATCCACTGGATAGGAAGGTGTGGTTTATTCTATGCAGGGACCTGTCTGTATGTCTGTTACGTTGTCGGTCTTGTTACGCTTTACGATACTTTTTTGTGGAACTAATTTTAAATTAAGAGATTATTTTTAGAAAAATATTGACAATTAAGTACCACGTAATTAAATAACATCTATTTTAATTAATTATCTATTTAAAAACATGTCTAAATTAATAATGGAAAGAGGAAAGATTTAATTTATTTGTTTGTAATGGATAAACTCAAAAAAATGAACCGATTTTAAAGATTCTTTCACGCATAGAAAGCTTCACTATCAATGAGTAACAAGAACTATATTTTATTTTGAAGAAACCGTGCAAAAACAGGGCGGTTTGCTAGTCAATAATACTAATAATCGAATTTCCTTTGTGTAAGATACATTTTATAGGCAACTCTTTCTCTTATCGAGCTGCCCAGTTATGGAATAAACTCCCTTTCCACATACAAGAGAGTCCTTCTATTACTTCTTTCAAGAAAAGGTTCAAATCACATTTCCTTTCATTTGAGTTTTTTTTTTGATGGCTGAAAATGGTATAATAACCCCGCCTGCGCTACCGGGATACGCTGGCGGAGCACCAGTGGATTGTTAGTAATGGAGACTGAGAATCCTATTGCTAGCAATATACCCAATCAGGTCGACCTGCTCGTGGTTTCCCCTGGAAACTATCATGGTTAATTCCTGATGAATTCGTCATGATGGGCTAACTGGCCTGTTTTCATTCTCATCTATCACCCTTCACTGGTGCTCCGCCAGCGTATCCTGTTAGCGCAGGCGGGGTTACCATACCATTTTCACCAATCAAAAACCAAGTAAGTATGTAGATAACAATACAAAATAAACCAAACATGTCCTTAACGGATAAGAATCCGGAATCATTATATGATTTTTATTTTATTTACGTTGAATTGAATATGCAAAATGGAAAGTGGGCATGCGGTTTAATTAATGAACATCACGCAACCCTTTGTACAGGGTAATCTGCAAGTAACAGCACAGATAATATATCTGAATATAAATTTTTACCCGCGACTTCGTTCACTGCACCGAAATATAATTACTGATCGGGATAAAAAGTGGCCTATTTATTTATTTATAAATTACCACACTTATAGTATCCCAAAACGTGTAGTGAACCGTAGGTTTATATTCTTCTTTTCATTTAAGAGTTTCCTCTTGTCGGTGCAACTAATTCATGCATCTTCCTCCAGCCAGCTCTATCCCAGGCCATATCCTTTATCTCCCTATACGACATGACACCTAGTGTTTCTTTTATCTGTCCCATGTAGTTATTCCTCGGTCTTCCTCTTCCTCTTTTGCTCTCTATCTTTCCTTCTACTATGCTCTTAAAAAATCGTCATATCGTATAAGGTGGCCCAGCATTTTGCCTCTTCTATTCTTTATTATTTTAAAGTTTATTATGCAAACTTAAAAATTTTAAATAAAATTTAAAAAATATATCAAATTTGTCATTAAATATATCAATATCTGGCTGCTGAGCAATCAGAGAATTGAGCAGAGAAATAGCCTGATAAGTGGGAGCAAACTGAGCAGTACTGTACCTATGTCCTTCTCTATCCCAAATAGCATGTGTAGGGGGGGAAAGGGATTGTTAGTAACGGAGACTGAGAATCCTATTGCTAGCAATATACCCAACCAGGTCGACCTCCTCGCGGTTCCCCCTGGAAACTGTCATGGTTAATTCCTGATGAATTCATCATGATGGGCTAACTGGCCTGTTTTCATTCTCACCTATCACCCTTCACTGGTGCTCCGCCAGTGTATCCCGTTAGCGCAGGCAGGGTTACCATACCATTTACACCCATAAAAAAAAATAGCGCGTACACATTTATTTTTATGAGGATTTATTAAGTCATTAAGACGGTGAAATGATACAGATCTCAGAAAACCAAACTCACTATGATATTTATAATATTACTACATTTTTTTCATGCGTTTTATGAATGGCGAACAAGCTGACGGCCCACCTGATGGAAAGCGGTAACCGTCGCCTATAAACATGAGCAGTACCATGGACATAACAGAGTATACTGTTTCACTCATGATACGCCCCATGCGTTGCCAGTCTCAGAGAGGACTCAGGTGTTATTCCTCTGTACGCTGTAAATTCACTCCCATATCCCACCATTCAAACCGAAACACAGCCATGCAAACACAACTGCTTCACGGTTGAAACACGAATGTGACAGAGGTACTCAAGCAAACGACTTTTGTACAAAGTCTCCCTCTGGTAAAATATTATTACGTTCCAGACACTGCGAACTTTCCATGATCTTTTGTGGTCGCACTTTTTTTAAATTCGCTGCTAATTCCTATCAATGATTGTAATTTTTAGATGTTTTTTGTAGCGACATTTTTATCTCCTCAGGATATAAAATGTATTTTCCAAAAAAGATACATCGATTATGTATGAGTTCAGGACACTTCATATATGTGTGTGTGTGTGTGTGTGTGTGTGTGTTAAATACTGTTTTCAGTCGACTGCATTTACTCTCGTATTGGATCTATCGTAATTTTTAACCGACTTTAAAAAAAGGAGGTTCTTAATCCGATTGTGTTTTTTATTATGTTTGTAACCCCATAACTACTTAAATTGTAAATCGATTTAGAAAATTATTTTTTCCTCTAAAAGTATATATGTAATTTACAGTGGTACCCTGCACTTTGTTTGTTTTGTAAAGAGAGGGACTGGCTGAAAACCAGCGCTGTACAGCTGTTCACATTGCGCTGGGACACTCACAGCATCAGCTGAGCCGGTCCGTTTTGCCGGGTGTGGGACACTTTTTGTATATGTTATTAATATTTTATATTGTAAGTTTACTGGCAATAAATGTTTCTATTCTATTCTATTTTATATCACAGATTGATCTCATAATTTTTTTATCAAGATCGGTTCAGCAGTTCAATCTTTAAATCAAAATAACTTTTTTTACCACAACGGAAAATGCTTATTTTTTTAATGGAAAACAATCCTAGTAACGTGATAACTGAAGTTGCCTTTTCTGTAGAGCAAAATCTCGCTTGTTGAGTAGTAAAATCAAGACACACATTCTGTGTTTATTTAGAAAGCGTATTCAGATTATAGTTAAAGGCAATCCTGTCCATCGCAAAATAATCAAGAAAAACGGTTTTGTTATACAACTTAGAATGGCAAACAAGCTGACGGTCCACCTGGTGGAAAGTGGTAACCGTCGCCTATAAACATGAACAGTACCATGGACATAACAGAATACCCCCATGCGTTGCCATTCCTGAGGACTCAGATGTTATAGAAATATAAAAAAAAATCGTTTAATACAATTTCAGAACCTGCTCTTTTTCTGTACATATCTCGTGATTTAAAATAAATTATACTTATAATAATATATATACAAATGAAAAAATATACAAATTGCACGCAGATATATATATATATATATATATATATATATATATATATATATATATATATATATATATATATATATATATATATATATATATATATATATATATATATATATATATATATATATATATATAT